TTATGAACTTCGTTCTTTTGAGAGATAGTGAGAACATTATCCCACTATTTAAGAATACTGGTAAAACCATTAACAAAAAAATAGGCAATTTGGATGTCAGTATTATCATTTTGTTTAGATACAGTGCCGTACATAAGAATTTGGTGTATGGTTTCAAAAATTTGATATTCAGATTTACCATCAATATTCCATTCATAAATGGTTTTACCATGGTAAGATTTCTGGGAATGGAGGAAATCTTCTTCATAGAGATTGTCCTGGGGAGTAGGTCTGGAATAATAATACTTACTGGGTCCTGTTAAAGCCATTCTGGAAGTCTGTTGGGGAAAATAGGTTTTATTAACAGACTGAATATCTTGAAAATTATTCTGGATTTCAAGAATCTGTGATAGGGAAAGGTCCTCTTCATCACTAGGAATAGCTGGTTGTTGATCAGAAAGCATATTAATTTGAGAACTAGATTGCCCGATTTGAATATTTTTCATTTTGTTAATAAGAGCATCCATAAATTCATTGTCCTGTTTGGTTGACCGATGTTTGAGATTAGATATTTCTAAAGGTGGTTTAATGTGTACTGGTTGAATGATGGAGTTAGGTTTGGATTTTACTGTCTGATTTTGTACTAATTTTGTAACGGATTCTTCAATCTTGGTTAATTGTTTTCCTACAGTTTGGAAATGAAAATTTGTATAATTATTTTGTTTAATGAGAGGTATGAGATCATTGAGTTGAACAATATCTCTTTTTGCTGAAGCTGTTTCAGGTGGTTTTACAAAAGCTATAATAACCAGGGGACTAATAGAGCAAGAAGCTAGGCTTGGTGCTAGTTCTAATGACTGAGGAGGCGGATGTATAGACCTACTACTTTGTCCTTCAGTTGTTAACCATGTCTTATGTATATCATCTAAGACATTGAGTTGAGGTTCTGGAAGTACGTTCATTACCGTTGCAAATTCAAAAAACAATTCCGGAAAACATCTAAGCTATTGATGTTTTTCTAAATGAAAATAATATTGGCTCTTAAGTTTCTCTAAGTGTTGAGAGTTATGGTAATTGAAATACCATGTTCGAAACTCTTGGTACATAGGTTGCATAAGATCTTAGTGAAGATATTTTTGAATTTCACCACCTGGAATACCACTCCGGATCGCTAGGTGGCTGACTAGGCGGTCTAGAAGGCGTACCTTGTAATATCGATTCTATCGGTTCAGAGGTAGATTGTCTAGATGACTCAGGTAGATCTATGCTCGTTGTCTTTGTTCAAGCGAATCCGGCAACCCTTTGCATGAGTCAAGCCTTCTCCGGCTAGACCTAGTTCGCATGAGTGAAGCCTTATTTGACTGCACCCAGTTCGCATGAGTAAAACCTTTTCTGGCTAGACACATATCAAAATCTGACAACGTTATACAATGAGATGAATGGAGTATGACAATATTAGCTCAGAAGATGTTTACAATTTCGGTGTGGTTCGTAGCTCGGATGAGGTTCACCATGTACTGCTTGGTTTTTCAAACACAAGAAAAAATTAATAATAACGGTTCGACTTTTTTTCAATAATGAACTCCCAAACATATGCCAACAACTTGGCAATACAGGGCCGAATTGGAGGTAGTAATTCCGCAACATCTAACCAAACAAATTCCATTTGTTTGGCCATAGTAAATCGAACATCCTTCATATGTTCGGCATCTTAGTTTGTTTGGCAAGATAGTTCTAAACAAATAAATTTTGTTCTGGAATAGGGTTTCGCCCAAAGACACATAGTTTGGAAGTTCAGTATTGAACGGTGTTCTTTGAACAAATCTAAGTTTGATTTGACGAGGTTATAAAAAAATATTACAAAATACCAAAATTAAATGGTAAAATTCGATGGGTCGGTGAAATGACGTTGGTGATTGGCGACCAATAGTGAGAGATCGTCGTTGGTGATAGTGGTTAGAGTTTGTCGTTGATCATTTGTGGTGAGATCGTTGGTGATGGGGGCTGTGATAGTCGGTTTTTAGGAGGGGTTATTTTTACTGAATTAGGTGGGTATGTAGTGTTTTTTAGGAGCGATAATTTTGGTATTATGTAGGGTTTTTTTATAGAAATTTTCTCAATTTTGAATTTTATAGGTAGGTAATGATATAACTTCCCAATTGAAATGTTAGGGGAATGCCTGTATATTTTTGCTCAATGTCAGGGAGTCTCTTCGATTTAAATTAACAGGTAAAAAAATGGGTGGTGCTAGGTAATAAGGTGTGGGCCATTAGCAGCACTCAAATATTAACGTCGGTAAGCCAGGGAAGTGTTTTAAGGCCTCGCGAGGGTTGAGACAGGGAGATCCTTTATCTCCTTTTCTATTCATTTTGGTAGTGGATGCGTTAGGTAGGATGGTTGATAGAGCTAAAGAGGTAGGCCTGTTTGAAGGCTTACAGGTTGGTAGAGATAGAATTAGTGTGTGTCGCATTTGCAATTTGCGGATGACACTATTTTCTTCTCTACGGGGGACGAGTGTCAAATGGCAAACCTTTTTTCAGTGGTAAGGCTCTTTGGGGCGATTTCAGGGCTTAAGATTAACTTAGAAAAGAGTAGGGTAGCGGGTATTAATGCCAATTCAAGACTGATTCAAAGTGTGGCCGATTTTCTTGGTTGCGGGATTGAGATATTTCCTATGAAGTATTTAGGCCTCCCACTGGGAGGTAACCCAAGAGGTGACATGTTTTGGAATCCAGTGGTGGAAAGGATAGGTAAGAGGTTAGAAGGGTGGAGTAGGGCCTTATTGTCCCATAGGGGTAGGTACACTTTGGTTAAGACAGTGCTGAGTGGTATTCCTATTTATTTCATGTCTTTGTTCAAGATTCCGGTTAGGGTAGTGTAAGAATTGATGTATTATTGATTGATTTATATTGATATGTTACAATGATTCCTATATATAGAAGAGTAGGTGGTAGTAGGTGGTAGGTGGAGTAGGTGAAGTGGAGGTGGTAGTGGTGTAGTGGGTTAGGTTTAGTGGAGTAGGTGAGGTGGTCATGTCTTTGTTCAAGATTCCGGTTAGGGTAGCAAAATCCATAGAAAAGCTAATGAGGGATTTTCTGTGGGAAGGGAAGGATGAAGGAAGGAAGGATCATTTGGTGAAATGGGAAATGGTGTCATTACCAAAGGAGAAGGGGGGCTTGGCAGTTGGTAATATACTGGCCAGAAATATGGCTTTGTTGGGCAAGTGGTTATGGAGATTCCCAATTGAGCGTGGTTCATTATGACATGCAGTTATCAAAAGTAAAGATGGGTTGCATGTTAATGGTAGGGACTCTCAAGTGGTTTCTAGGGGTTATGGGCATGCTCCGTGGAAGTCTATTTCTCATACTTATCCAATTTGGTCCCAATTCATTTATGTGAGGGTGGATAAGGGGGACGCGGTAAGATTTTGGGAGGATTTTTGGGTGGTTTTTTTGTCTTTTGCTGAGTCCTATCCACTTCTGTATAGAGTTTCTCAATCTCATAATTGTTCTGTTGCGTCCGTGGTTGTTTCTTCATTGGCTCCTTGTTCATGGAATTTTAATTTTTTCCGTAACCTTCATGATAGGGAAGTTCTCGAGTTGATATCTTTATTATCAAGGCTTAAAAATGTTTCTTTGTCTCCAATTTTGGAGGATCGATGGTTTTGGAATATTCATTCGTCAGGATCTTTTACTTGTAAATCCTTTCTGGACAAAATCATTGATATTCTGCATGTACCTCAGTTTTTGTTTCACAAAAAGATTTGGAAGGCATGTGCTCCTCTTAAGGTGAAAGTGTTCATGTGGATCTTGGTTTATGGGGGCACTTTGACAAATGATTCATTGCAAAAGAGGAGACCTTCATGGTATCTTAATTCTTAATGGTGCATAATGTGTTGCAAAAGTGGAGAATCTTTGGATCATCTTTTTGTGCATTGTTCGGTGGCAGGGCTTTTGTGGAACATGGTGTTTGGTTTGGGGAATGTACAGTGGGTGGCTCCTAAAGGAGTTGCTCAAATGCTATTATTTGATTTTCAAGTTTTTGAAAGGTCAAAGATGGCTAAAGTTCTTTGGAGTTGTGTAGTGTTTGCAATCTCTTGGGTCATTTGGTTAGAGAGGAATGGGTGTATCTTCGAAGGAGGAGCGAGGGATATAGATTATTTATGGGATAGAGTGAGATACTTGGCGTCTTTTTGGGCTTCGGCGAGTCCTATGTTCCGTGGGATCTCTCTTTTTTTGATTGCTTCAGATTGGGTGTCAGTTTGTTTTGTATAGTTTGTAGTTGGTGGTCTTTTGGTTTGGTTGTCTTTTTGGATGTATTTCTTTCTTTTTCCTTGTTGAGGATGCCTTATCCTCTCTTCTTTTTGGCCATGAGCCTTAATAAAATTAAACATTTCTGTTGCTGATAAAAAAAAAAAAAAAATATATATATATATATATTGGTTTGGGTGTGAATGATATAACTTCCAAATTGACATGTTAGGGGGGTGTTCGTATATTTTTGCTCAATGTCAGGGAGTCTCTATGATTTAAATTAAAGGGTAAAATAGTCTTTCACTTGAAAAATTAATGGTGATTTGCAAAAGGGGTGCATCTGATACAACTTTCAATTGTCAAGGGGTTTTTGTGATATATTGGAAATGTCAAGGGGTGTATGTGTATTTTCATCAAATGCCAAGGGACATATGTGATTTTACGCTTTTTTTTTTTTTTTTTTTGTTTTTTTTTTTGGCTATGTATACCAATATATATTTACATATAAGTGTAGTTGCTACCTTGTTCCTTACACTGGAGTTATGGAGTTGGGCCGTGATATATATATATATTTTTTCTAGTAAGCTTGTACATTTATGGTTGTTGTTGTTGTTGTTGTTGTTGTTGTTGCTGTTGGTTGCTTTAAGAAGCTATAATTTCCAAAAAAGCAAAAGAAGGATAGAATTTATTGTAGGCTAGAGTTTCATTTTGTTTGTTTTTCCTTGTATTGTTAAAATTCTTTTGACCCTTGAAACGATCTTTTTTCAGTTTCTAAGTGAGAATGATGCTGCTCCAGCTGGATGTGCGGTATCTGTTGTAAATGAATCCCTTTCTGTTTATCTCAAGCTTCGAGGAACTCTTAATGCAGAAGCAGAGCTCGAAAAGCTTCAGAAAAAGATGGAGGACATACAAAAGTAAGTGTCTTTCCACAACTGAAACTCTTGTCCACTACACACAAATTCAACTTTTATTACCCTTTAGATGATATGGGACGTCTGAGCTTTACTGCAGTTGCAAACAAAGGATTGTTGTTGGAGGTTGTGGTCAATTCCTCATGCACACTGCATGTGCAACCATCTTAAAAAATTGAGTACAAAAACTGAAAAAATACATGATTGCCATTCTGACTAACTGCATTGATTTGAAGTTTTGTTTTGATGCAAAATTTTGGTCATCTAGATAAAGGCAGATTGTGGAGCTCAAAAGGAACAGTAGTATGAATTAAGTGACACAAATCGTTGGTATGGTTTGACCCATAAACAAAACTTAGATTGATCATGGAAAATGATAGTTACTTGTATCAAGGCTATATCGACCCAGTCATATCAGAAAAAAATTATCTTGAATTAGCAAAGAATGAAATCACGCAGAAAATAGGTACTAGCACACCCAAGCAATAAATATATGGATAATGCCTCTAAATTGAGAGTAAGCACTGTTGGGTGTTTTGGCAGAAAATATATGATTGAAACACAAGAAAAACACAGCTGAAACACACAAATCAGATCTGAATTTTTTGCAGAAAATAGAGGAAAATGAGCAAAAACAGAGGAAGAGGCTCCAAACAGGACAGAACCTGTGCAGATTATTTCATACGCTTCTTAGCTTCTCTTACAAGCTTTGTACATGTAATTATACACACCGAAGTACAAAGAACACCTGGACATATTGCCCCCCACATAAATTAACTATGATTAACAAAACATAACCCAAAACATAACTAGAGTTAAACAAAACATTAGTGATTGTTGGACACAAAACTAACCCAGCACAATACATCAACAAGTACAATGTGATGTCTGGTTGTTGACTGAATTTCTCCTGAATTATTTATTTATTTATTTTTTTTGTTGTCTTTAGAGTAATTAAGAAATGTTGTCATTTTTGAGCTGTTTGATTAAGCTGTTTGTTTCAAAGGTTTTTTTTCCCAGAACTGGCATATGGAAATTGGATCTATATGATGTGATATTCCTTTTAGTAGTTGATCAAATTAACTTAAGCCAGTATGAGCTTATGATTTGTTTAGTTGAGAGAATCTAAATAGAAATGACTCTTCTCCTTTATTTTGATAAACTAGAGATATTTCATAAGAGGGCTACTAAATGCCCCTACTTTTTAATTTGGACTCCTTATTTATTTATTTATTTTTTTATTACAATTTTGTCCTAACATCAAATTCTAACCCTAACCCTAATCCCACTACCACTTCCACTCCCGCCGACACCCTCCAGCATCCAACCCACCCTTCGGCAACCAACCTATCACCGTTTCCACTCCCGCCGACATCCTTTGGAACCACCACTTCCCACCGTCATGATGCCTACCCCCCATGACCCCGACCATCGCGATCTTCATTCTCACCAGCAACCTAGATTCGAAACCAGATCGTCAAGCAACCCAAATCTTCATCTTCATCCTCCGGAACCTACTATCTTTTCTCTCTTTCATGTGTCTCTCTCTTGGTCGATTTCTCTCTACCCCACAGTTTGGTCAATTTCTCTTCGTTCAGTTACACAGAGCCAAACTTGTTGAATATGTTCGGTGCTCCACAACTAACTTATGCCTTTTGTTCGGAACTGGTTTTCCGAACAACGGCGAGAGGTCGCGAAGGCAAAAAAAGGGGTTGCGGTGCCTACCGGAATGTGAGAGAGGTCCCAGAAGTGCGAGGGTAGAGATTAGAAGGAGGAGTAGGGGTCGTTGGTGAGGGAGGGGCGTTGGGGGAGGGTTGTCGGGGGAGGAGGATCGCCGGAGTGGGAGGGGGACTGCCGGAGGAGGGAAGGAGGAGTTGTAGGTGGAAGGTGTAGGGGTGGAGTTCAAAGGATATATTTGAGATTATGGTAGGGTCCAAAGAAAACTAAAGAGGAAAGCAGTTTTGGTGGTGGGGGCCAAAGTAGTGGGGAGTCTAAAGTAAAAAGGTTGGGGCATTTAGCAAACCTCATTTCATAAAAAGGCACTTGTGAGAAATGGATGCCACCCAAGTACACATGCAATCTTTCTCTTACAGAAAATTATTCGTATTATTAGCAAATTCCATGAAGTTCTTAAAGGGATTGATTAGTTCTTTCCTAATTACAATATCCAATGGCCCTAAGAGAGATGGCAATTGCTTTTTGATCTTTGAGCTAGCATTCCTATATATGTATCTTGGATGCCCTTATCTTCCTTAAATACACACTAAATTTATTCCTGGCCACCTTCCTTGCAATGAATTAAGTGATACATTAGTTCTGCCTCCTTTTTGCTCAATACCTTTCGAATATACATTTTCTACTTCTTTGAATATACTGGTCAGGCCTGTAAACGGATCAGATTTAGGCCGGATTTGGTAGATCCGATCTGATCCGATTACATGTCAATCCGAATCTCATTTGCCCAAATCCAATAATGAGCAACCCGAATTTGAATCTGCTTTGTACAGATAAATCCGACCTGATCCGTGTATATTCTTCTTATTCTTCTTGAAATCAGCATTCTTACATGCCAAAATGCTACCCAACAAAATCAAATTTACAAAATACCCTAAACTAGAAACCTAAGAAGTATGAAAACTTCTAAAAAGATGGCGTGTCGGTGTTGTGTCCGTGTTGGACACCGATACTCGTCGGACACTTTCCTGACATGTGTTCGACACTCATCAAAATGTGTCCTATTTTTTTAAAAAAGAATTTAGATTGGGACACTCTTTGAACAATTGGAAGACACATATCCATGTCCATTACTTGAACACGTCTCCATTGATTAGGCACACATGAAACTAATTATAAATTTAAATAAAATAACTTAGAATATGATGGTAAAAGAAAAATAACGTCAATTTATTGAAATTAGTGTTATTTTGCTTTTATTTTTTGTTTTAGAAGGATATATTCATATATATGACATATAATAAATATATAAAATTATATATTTTGTGCGTGTCCCCCACGTTTTGTGTTCTGCATTTTTTGAAAATCACTGTGTCGGCATGTCCGTGTCGTATTTGTGTTGTGTCACGTATCCATACTTCATAGCTGGAAACATATATATATATATATATATATTATATTGAGGAGGGTAAGAAGAGTCTTCTTAAGTCTCAATCAATCTCAGACTAGAAGGATTAATCTTCAAACAACAAAGACAGATACACACACATATATATATATACCTACCACACAGTCAATCTGAACTTGCTTCGCTTGAATTTGTTGATGCAATGTTAAAAATCAGACTTGTGTGGTCACTGGAGCCGGAGACGAAGCCCTGTCACCACTGTGAGAAAGGGAATACGGTATTGCTGACAATCGATTGAGAGGGTCTGATAGTTTGATTTTTTCTGGAAAAGCGATCGAGATGGTGGTGAGTGCTCACTTGTGGTGGTTTAGATGATGGTATTGGTGGTGGACGGTGAGGGAGAAATCGTAGAAGGTGAGGTGAGATGGTGACAGAGAAATCACTGACTGTTCTTCAGATCTTCTATGCTAGTATTCCAGGTAAAACGTTATAATCAGATCAGACAAACAATAGGATCGAATTGGATTTATCCGACTTTGTACCATTTAAAACCGGGGTATGCACATTTGGATCAATCGGGTAATCAGATTGGATTCGGGTAAAAGCCGGTCGTCTAATAGGTGTAATACCGATGCAATCTGGCCACTTCGTCTTGGGCAATTGTAATCTCACAACAATGCACTGTCTAGTCTAGTTTGCCAAAATAGCTTTTGGGGACTCAAGCTAATATTTGGTCAATGTTGGGCATCCTTTGAACTTTGAAGGGATTTATTAATTGATTATACCATATATCAAAGCCATACATTTCTGAAAGCATATATGTTACTTTGATAGGCTTTTCCTTTTGTATCTCTATTCATTTGATGGAATAATTGAGTTTGTATTTTTATAGACATCGGGACAACCTAACAAAGATGATGGATGCTTCTGGCTATCGAGAGAAGGTTCCACCCCATATTCATGAAGAGAATATAGCGAAGCTTTCCACACTCATGCAAGAACTTTTGTCTTTTGAACAAGCTAGCCAACATCTCGAACGCGAAATTGCGACAGAAGGATCAGAAAATGATAATTGAACCTCAATTTTATGCATTATAATTCATGGGTCAAGTAATTAACATTGTGAAACCCCAAGGGAGAAGCTAGTGGTTGAAAGTTGTATATATGGTGATTGAAATTATGTCATTAAATGTGGAGACGACTGTTATGATTTTTGTTGGTATAATGATTTTGTAATGCTTCAAACTTCCACACAAATAGGACCTATAGTCGATATGAATTCTTACTGTACAAAATACAGAAACGCTCTTGCTAAACACCTTTTCTGTGATTTTGGACTGATCTGTAATCGTCACGTTGTTAATATTTATGTCAAAAAGATTAATTTACCTTTACAGAAACACTGACACCCCCCCCCACATCACAGACATTCTCTCTCTCTCTCTCTCTCTCTAGCACATCACATCATTTGCCTCACTTTTTTAATTAAAAAATAAAATAAATTCTATCAATTTTATTTCAATAAAATAAATATAATTTTTGATATATAAATTCAATTTTTTTAAAATTCATATTATTCAAAAAAAAAATCTTTAAAATAAGACTAATAGTTAACATATTTAATAAAAACTTAAATTAATAATTCAAAAAACATATGAAAAAAACTTACCTACTTAAAATAATTTGTATGAATTGAAATTAATGTATATAGCAATTATTTAGAATTATTTTTTGAATAGAAAGATATTATTTTTTATTTACTAAAAAATGTAAAGACTAAAAAAAGTTTAATAAAATGTAATTAAGTGGTTTGCCTCTAATATTGTTTGCAGAAGACATTTCAATATTCCTAACAAATTATATAATAAATTTTAAAGAAAAATAAAAAATGACACTACAGAGTGGAAGACAAATTAAACAAATAAATATTTGATTAAATAAAAAAAATAAGAGATAAAAATATAATAAATTTTTTTTTTGTATAATATAGTTTAATAAAATATAACCAAGTGTTCCCCTCTAATGTTGATTGCAAAAGACATTTCAAAATTCCTAATAAATTGTATAATAAAGCTTAAAGAAAATTAAATAGTAAAATCAACAATAAAATTAAAAAAAAATGAAAAATACACTATAGAATGGAAGACAAATTAAACAAATAAATATTTGATTGAATAAAAAATAAAATAAATAAGAGATAAAAATATAATAGAAATGAATTAAAAAAAAAATGGAGTACCAGCTTTCCAGGATGGTTTCACATTTCCTTCCAATTTGGATAGAGTATAACATCCATTTCATAAGCATTATCTTATATAGTAAAAGGGAGGGTCATTTTGATCTTTTGGCCAAACCATTTTTGAAGGAAAACTTGTTAAACGGACCAATACATGTAGATGGGACGTGTGCAATCCACTTGCCCTTTGTTTGGATGAAAAATATAATAGTTGCAGATAAATACAAAACTATAGAGGAGGTGTCTGCATATTTCTAAATGTCAAAAGTCATTTGTGACCAGTGGCAGAGCTAGGAATTCAGTGAAGAGGGAATACAAATTAATGACAATATTAATTTTGTTTTTTTTCTCATAATAAACAACAATGAGATATTACTAAACGTAAATATTAAGAGTTTATTTGGATAGATGTGAATTTTAAATTGAAAGATTTGAGGTTAAATTTTATACAAATATTGTGGAGTAACTATTTTAGGTGAATTGACAAATTAAGAAAGAAGATAAGTTGAGATAGAAATGATATGTTTTAGTAGAGAAATTCTATAAAACACACTGCAAAAAAAATGTCTATCATATGTCGCAGTTATGATTTTTGTGGTCTTTAGTTATGACACATTATAGTGTTGGATATAACTTAGTTATAACTTCTTATGGTTGTTATTTTGGTTATGATTGAAGAGGTCTTTGATTATACATCAAGTAATGATTTGTAATGACTTATTTTGATATTAGTTATGACTTATAGTAATTTTTTTTTTCCTTTTGTTATAATTGAAGATGTTTTGTTTGGTTATAATTTATATAGTAGTCATTTTAGTTATGAATGAAAATAATTTGGTTATGAAAATTTGTAATATCAATACCATAAAGTAATAACTAGTAAATGGTACATTCCTTTGGGAGGTGTATAATAGGACTCATTTTAGTAGGTTCATTTTAATTAGAAAGAAAATTTATAATAGAGGGACTATTATAATTTAAAGAAGAAATATTATTATAATTTTATAAAAGATATATATGATATAATATATATATAGAGAGATATCAATATAATTATCAAAACTCGAGGGGCATTGGGCTTGCAATGTCTCTGGCCCAGTCTGCAATAGTCCAAAATCATATGGGTTAAATGCTTTTTGCCTTAAAAAATAAATTAAAATCTAGTGCTGGTATACCTTATTAGAACTTGACCAATCTTGAGCGGGACTTCAATACTGGCTCCATTGCAAAGGTTACAAGATCGTGAAAGTTTAAATTTTATTTTTTGAATTCTCGTTCCAATGTAGTCTTAGCTGTATATCAAAATTCTCACATCATATGATTGGCATGGGTGCATACAAATTCCCTTTTATTTTAATGCAGTCCTATAATTATATCTAGAAGTTTTTATTATATTATTTGACGGGTTGTGTGTATTAAGACACAGAATTATTTGATGGTTGAATAAGAATTTAAAATCCTGATAATGATTAAAGAAAGTCAATTTTTAAGTTTACATATATTATCATATGGGTTATATTATATTATAGGCAAATTATGACCTTTATGGAATTGATTATCACAAATATCATAATTGAATCTTTTTAGGGTTATAATTAAAATAAAAAAATAAATAAATTGAATCATAATGAAACATCACATAGGACATAACTAAAAATCTTTTTTTTTTTATCATAACCAAAATAATATCGAAACCAATATAACAATGAGTTATAACTAATACAATGATGTATATAATTTAGTCATAACCAAGGTTATAACTCGAGCCAAAACTTTAAGATCTGGATTCAGATATTCTCACAACTTGAAGGCCAACACTGGATAATGCGTTTATTTCATGCTAGGCGACTAGCTCAACATCAATAATTTATCTTGACCATCAGAGGTGGGGTCTTCAAATTCCAAGTTGAAGGTTGTGGAGCAGTAAAGTTTTGGATGTGTTTGCTGACAACTTGGATCTAGATTTTTTTGGTTTTATTTTTATAATTTATAGTTTGTTAATGTAATAATCCTTCTTATGTGGTGTTGGTATTAAAATTTGGAATCTTTCGTCAACTGAATGCTGACAAGGCATAAAGATGACATGGGAAGATTGGCTAATATGGCTGACATGGTATAAGGATGGGCTGAAGATAGAAAGGTAAGGAAGGTGATGGCAGAAAATCAAGGAAGAAATCAAAAACCCAGTGAACAGTTCCTAGAATATGGGCATAGACATGAAGAAATGCAAAGAATTAAGGAAGATCAGAACCAAGGGCCAGGCCAGAAGTCAAGTATAAAAGAGAATTGGATGCAATCAATCATTCATTTAACAACTATTCATGAAACGTGATATTTATCTAGGAGTAGTTTAACTTAGCAGTTGTTAGGAGTAGATTAGTTATAGTTTTTTCCAACCCCTATTTCTCTTATTTCTGTAGATTGTTGTATTTTTCATTTCTTTGTTTTTATTTAAGTTTTTGTAACTAATGGCAAGGGACAGTTTTATTGAATAAATACATATTCTATTATGTTCTATTTCTTCTTTATTTAATTACCTCCAAGGAAGTCATTAATCTGTTTAAGGCATAGAATTCAACCATAAAGTCTGATCTTTTTATGTTTATTTAAAATCTGTTTAAGTCTATCGATCAATCACTGTCGATTGGGCTTAAATTTAATTTTTGCTAACATAAATTAGCATGCCCAGTGGGACCATTCTAACTTGGAGTAATAGTGAAGAAGAAAGCTGAAAAAAATAAGACTACTGACGCCAGCAGGAAGATTGCTGACGAGTCAGGCCTTCTTGGGGATCCAAGTAAGAGGCCTGTTGAAGATACGGGTTTCCCTACTAGTTTTCTCGAGTTTAGGGAAGACATGGATGTCATCGAGGACAGCCAATGAGTAGTAGCCAGGTATGGAGAAGGACTGAAAGATCGTCAGGACATGACCAATGGATGCTAGTACCACGGCCTGACAGTTGAACATGTAGAGGAAATGGTTGCCCAGCTTGGCTATACCTTCGAAATGAGACCAGAACACGTCACAAAAAGTATGCGGGCCAAGCTCAGGATGCTTGGGAGATTCAACCCTACTCCTAGTCCTCCACCACCAGCCAAAGTGGAAGCATAGGTGACTAAGGTACAATTCTAAACTCCTAAGGCAAGTAAAATTCATTAGGGTAGTGCCCCTTTTTATAGGCCTCCAACTCTCCAAGAGGAGGAGCAGGAGAGGTTTCAAATGAACCCTAATCAGACATATAAAGAAACTAAAATTAACATCAATTATGGGGGGCAATCTGGTCCCTCTAGGCCTTTTGTTCAAAGAGAGGCCCTGGAAGGAAAGTCACATTATAATCAAACCTTTGAAATGAATAATAGACCAATGCAAGGGCGGCAAAATTGGCTCCTAGAATAGGAAAAACCAATATATGACATTGTCAGGCCTATGCTAGGGGGGAAGTTTAGAGCCCTTGGGTATGAGGAACCTACCGTTGACAGACCAAGATTAGGGCAGTACAACTTTGTTGACTAGAGGTTTAGACAACCAAATTATGATAACCTAAGGCCAAGAGGCAACCAAAGCCTTTGGCAGCAAGTATACCAAGAGCAGGGCTTCAGAAATCATAAACCACAAAGAGGGCCTAGACAACCCCCTCGACATTTTGAGGAAGGAGGTTTTGGTTTGCACCTACTTCGACAGCAACACTTCCAGCTGTATGAGGGGTTTGTTGCACCAAACTTTTAGCCATAAGTGAATGAAAGGATGGGGTATGTTGCCTATCATAAGGAGCTGAACCTTGAGCCAGCCTAAATTAATAGGCATCCGATCATGGAAATAATTCAAGAAATGTATGGCCCATGCCTAAGGAGGCCTAACAGACCAATGTTTGGGAAACCATACCCTTATTGGGTGGATGAGACCCCTCTTCCTAGAAACTTTAAAATGCCTGAACTTTCCTTGTTTACTGGGGAAGAGAGGCAGTCGACCATAGAACATATAGGAAGATTTACCATGCAGTGTGGAGAGGCAAACTTAGATGACCTGAAACTTAGGCTTTTTCCACATTCACTGTCAAAAGTAGCTTTCACATGGTTCATTAACCTGCCAGAAAACTTAGTACCCACATGGCAGGATATGGAGGGCAAGTTCCATGCACAATTTTACAAGACTGAGCCAGACATT